CTTTATATAAAAATCTTTATATAGTTTGCATAACAATGGTCTTTTGTTAAAGTGTTCTTTAGCTGGTATAAAGACGCATGCACGTGACTAATTTCTTACTCAAGATTGGATAATTGCTTCATGAATTATTAATGAGTTTTTGAAATTTGTTTTATAATATAGAACAGAGAAATATATAGAAAGAAATTTTCCGACGTTTTCGTGTTGACATTGAGTTATATCAACACGGATCTTAGCCAATTAGCGTTCAGAATTTACAAATGCTATATTATAATAAAAATTCTGAAACATCACACACACGTACAGTTTTATTTTTGAAATTAAATGCAATTTAATGTTCAAAATATTTTCACATTTATGGACACCTTGCCTCTCTGACCTCTTGAGTGGCATATAAGACAACGTTAAATTATAGTAATGAAGATAATGGGCTCTAACACTTACCTTAACCAGGGCCAAAGTGAATCTTCGAATCCGTCTTTTTTCAATATTATAGTTGGGTTTAAGTGTTGTTATGAATAAACTGGGAGTAGCAACCTTACTCTAGACTGTACTCGCGTGTGGGCCATTCGCATGTGTTTACGTTGTAGTACCTATATACCAACAAAGTTTTTGGAGATAGAGACATAATACTATTCACCTACTAACAAAAACAAATGGTTTCCTGTTTCGTAACTGTTGCAGAGAAGCAAATTACTGTACTAAACGAAGCTGCGGTTTCGCCTAACACGAACAAAGCCACAACGCTACACCTTAACAGTGTGCAGATGTATTCTTTCAAAATATTTCTAATGAATAAAATTAACGTGTAAATATTGTTTTGTTTACAACTATTACAGGAGCATGAATATGAACTGTTTTAAAAATATTTTCGTTGTTGATAATAATGATGATGATAAAGAGACATTGAGGTAATTTATCAGCAACTTGAACGAAGGTTGATTAAAGTTTCTCACATGATGCAGGACACAACCACAATAAAAACATGGGGTTTTCACGATTTCACTGAAGAAGAATGAAAATTTATTGCATTAATTCGCAAAATAATTTTCGAGGCAAACAATTTTCCAAATACTAAAATATCTTTCTGTGGCAAAATCAATTAGCTCCTTCGCCTTGAAAAGGTATAAGTAAAACTCCCTTTATACCTCTTTGACAGTTTGACTATAGAGGTTATATGTTACAAATATATTATATGCTGCAGTGTCAAAGAGTAAATCGGACAGCATGGGTTGTTTCCTACTTTTATCGTATTTTTTACTCGCATTCATGACTTTATCGCATGTAAAGTGCGGAAATGTTAGCTGAGTAAAATGTTGGACAAGTGTTTAATTTTATTGTGAATGTGTATTAGATAACATGACTCTGTGCCGAAAACTGCTCTACAAATCGCAGCACAATTGTTCCATGTAACATGTTTATGTACATACAGGTATTTTCTGTCCTGATCTTTACAATACAATACAATACAATTTTATTCAATAAAATAAAATACATAAGATAGAAATAACATGACCCGCAAATAGCAATAGCTAATCAGAGGCGGGCATAAAATATAAATTTAGACAGTTATAATTTCAATTAGTTGATTTATGATTTATGAATATGAGAGAATTGGAACCAATTGCTCGCATTTGACATCTTTTCATTTTTAGATTAAAAACATTTCTTAAAGTTTAGCAGTACACATAGTACTTACCAACTGAAAGAAGAACTTCATATTTATATATAACGATTTGTTAACAATGCTTTTTGTCGTCCCCACCAGCTTTTAGGAATGTGTGCAACCGCCGTTTTCCATTATTCTTAGAAACAATTTTTTCATAGTTATTAGTATGAGTTTAACCCAGTTAAGAGTTACAATTAGCGAGGTAACCAAACTCTAATTAATTCAAAACGTACTGAACGATCAAGGGCAGCAAAAACAATGCTTCGTTTACGAGATACCGCGATCAGTGCTGGAATATCACTCAAATCTACACAAGTTAATATTTCACCTCGTTCTGCATTAATTAAGTATAAGGTATGATTAGTTGAGCTACAAACTAAGTTTGCGTTGTCAAAAAACTTTAACCGCAGAATATCGTCACTTGGCCCGTAAATAGTGATCTGAGCAAGAAATTTTATTGACGCAACGTCAAATATGAATATTATGTTTATTTCTTCACTGAACACTGCTAACCTATTTCCTTCGGGAGAAAAGTCAGCAAATGAAATGGATTTTAATGACGTATCCTTGAAAAAAACATCTTCCCATTTATCTATTCTCGTTCCATCTTTCCATAAAGAAACGTCACTGGAGTCGATCTGTGCAAGTACATAGTATTCAATGCTGCATGCATGCACTAACGTAACAAGCTCGTTAAAAATCGTTTCGCTTTCTTTTTTTAGAGTGAAAACATTAAAAAATGTAATAGAGGACTGGTTGACACAGCCTATTAACTCATCAGATACTGACAAGCATTGCTTGGTACCAGCCAGCTCATCAAAACTTGCAAGTCGCTGTGTCAAATCGCTATTCCAGAGCTCTGGAGTGCGGTTGTTACCATCTAAAATTACACCGTCTCTTACAACCGGAATATCTAATTGACTTGAATATTGACAAGCTCGTGGATCTTCTTTATTTAAATCGAGGTTAAAAATGGTAAATTTCTGTGCCCGTGTGTTATTGAAATAAACAAAATCGCCATTTGTAGATAGATTGGAAAAGAAGCCTTTCATGTTTGTGCCCTGTTCTTCTGTATCAAGTAAAACCTCTACACTAAACACGTGCATAGCGTTTGAACTGCACGAGTAGATCAGCACGCTATTATTTCCTATCAAAATATATCTAAGGGCAGTGAACCAGAACCAATTAAACGAGTCCTTGAGAATCTCCTTTATCTTTGGAAACCAAGACTTTTCAGGATGTTGCAAGAAACATTGTAGTTCGTCTGAATTGCACAAATTACTCGGTAGGACTACGTCTAATGGATCAAGGCTATCACGTTGAAGAGGAGGAACAGTAGCGAAATCGTGATTCACAATGCTTATACGATCTTCAAAGAAACAAAACCAAGAATTTTTTTCAAAACAGGAAACAATTTCCACCGGGGACTGGCAGCTATAAGTCACTGACTTGTAAACGTTGTAATCATTCGCTACATTGTAGACTTTGAAAACATTTTCAATGTCCACTGTACCCAAAAACTTGCCACTGGCAGTAAAAGAAAAAGACAAAAGCATTTTACATGGCAGATGTCTTTCTTTTTTACCACTCAAAATGTCCCAGACAGTCAAGTTATTACCATAATGTGTGACCATTTGGCTATTATCTGAGGAGAAACAACAATTTGAAAATTTAGAACAACACTCGGTAGATTGAAATGGACCTGACCTAAACTCTCCTTGCATATTTAGCGCCTTATAAAGTCTCCCAGGCAATATCAAACTTTCACGAGGGTGAAAAACAATGCAATGTTGCAACATACAAAGATTATCAACATTATCAGGAAAAGAAAGAAGTTCCACTTTGAAATCCTGTATTTTCCACTCGGATTTACCATTTGTTAAGGAAAAGAGTTCAATTCCACCCTCTTTGTAACTACAAACAACATAATCATGATTATGAGAGATGTCGATGCCAGATATTGTGCCAGAAAGGAGGCACCGGGCTTGAAGTGGGTCATTTTTCATATGTTTGTTGATAAACTCAAGAAAAATAATATCCTTGTAGCGCGTTTGAAGCAAAGATAACGCTTTCAAAGAAAGCTCTTCTCCACCTTCGTTGACAACATTTTGCAAGAAGGTATGAGGATAATCTCTTAGTAAAAAGCCAAACCTTCTAATTAGGGAAAATAATCTGCTCACTGTTGCTCTCGTGTTTTCGGAAACATGATAGCACATCTCATGATTCGTAAGGATAGTGATATTGTTTAAAGTAAGATCTACATCGACACAGACACTGGCAAACAAAACTTCTAAATCCGCAGCGTAATTACTAACAAAATGTTCCAGCTTACTTGGGTCTTCTGGTCGGTTAAGCATATGTGGTATCCAGTATTTTATAGAATATCTGATTGCAGCATTAGTCATGGCTGCATCTCTAACGTCCATTTGCTTCAGTTCATCCAATTTTATAACACATTCATCAAAAAGACACTTATGACCATCCTGTACATCAACATAGTAATCATGTTCGTTATCAACAAGCCAATCCCTTACCGATTTATGAAAGAACGATATAGTGTTGTCTTCGTTGATGACAAGAAGAGATGAAATTGCTTTTCTTACTTTTTGCATTGTCATTCGTGAATCCTCTAAACCTAACAGGGTTTTAACAAAAGCCTCTGGGAAAGGCTCCTTAGCTACCGCAAGAGCACTTAAAAGGGAAAATAATTTATCTTCTGAAATTTCCAAAAGCCTTAATTCGCTTGCCAACCTTCGAAAGTATTTTTCATAATGCTTTTCAATGCCTTGTGGCAAACTATCGATGCTAAACATTGACGATTTGTCATTATAAATTTCCGAAAGAAGAAATGCATACAGCATGAGACCATCAGATTTTTCAGCCAAACTATCTATAAGATTTGTGGAACGGACACTACCTGCCTGGAAACATCTCTCCTGTAAAACCATTTTAAGGTCATTCAAATTTCTTACATCGTTACCTTCGATATACAAAGGGTTTAGCTGTTTGAATTTATCGATAAGATTTTTCTCAGGCCTCGTGGTAATAAGAAAACGAATATAAGAGGGAAGTTTGTGCAGGTGATTAGAGATCAAATTAGCAAGCTCATGCCTTCCATAGTACTCACTTTCATCTACAGCGTCTAGTACAATCAATATTCGCTCCCCAGAATAAGAAATACCTGAAAACGGTTCTTTAAAAAGAATGGAAAATAACCCTTCAATATTCTCATTATTTAAAGTTTGTCCGAGATTGCCAGAAAGCTTCTGGATAAGTGCTTCCTTGTACGGAGGAACAACTTGACAAAGCTGCCAGGCTAGAGATTGAAGAAGGATATTTGGATTGTTGTAATGACTGTTATTGTACTGAAAGAAATGAGATGCACAGACATGCTCAGCCAATCGTTTGCAGATAACAGCGGCAATAACGGACTTACCCATGCCAGCAAGACCGGAAATAATAAATGCACGGTTTCCGGACTTTTCATCGTTAAACCAGGTAAAAAATTGTTCGAATACCCATTCTCTAGTGCCTTTCGTAAATTTTTCGCAATAAAATTCGACTTCTCTCTGAAAGTTGCACCTAACAAGACATTTGTTTAAAATATCGTCTTCCCCACACATCTCATTTTCTAGTCTATCTATTTCTTTCTGGTCTGTGCCTAAACGAACTAACGGAGAACTTATTTCCGCCAAAAAAGCCTTAAAATCTGCTGTACTAACAGATGTATTGGGTATGTGGCTAAAACGCCCATTACGAAATAACTTTATACGAACAATATCTGCTTGAACAGAATGATCCAAGACATTTGGCATTTTATCCCAGCCTGAACACGGGGGATGTAAACCACATACGTTTCTTAAAAGAATAGATAACAGAGTGATGTCAAAATCATTAATATTTGGTGGGTTAGAAGATGGTGGATATAATTTATTCCACTGGTCATCATTGATTATTTTGGGATGACTTCTAAGCTTAGAAAGAATGTACTTATTACATGATGTAGTCAAACGGCTACATGTGCAAGATAATACAACCTGTAAATTTCCAGGATGAATTTTTCTAAAGGCGTTTCTCAACGCTTCTGTTCCAGCATCCATGATCAGCCTCATCAACTTAAAGCCATTGGTTTTTTCATCTGAGCTGCCAAGGATGGATGTCATGTTTACCTTCAAAACGTGTGATAAGACATTATTACTAAAAAAATAAGGCAATTTCGTCTCTGCGGTGAAGAATTAAGCCACAGATGTATAAGACGCTGCAAGCAAGGGATGAACCGTACCATAGAAATTATTCGATTTGATGAAAATGATAAATTTCATTAGTTTAGATCTATTAGAGTACTAGATCTATTATAATACTTTGGTGATGTACAGAAATCTCTTAAAACAAAGCAGGGCTCTCTCTCTCTTTCTAGCTTTGATTTGTACAGACCCGATAAATCACATTAAATTATAAAGCTCTCTCTCACTTTTCTCTCACGCCTCAAAACCCAAAATGTTCCGTTATATATATAAAGCAAATTAATAATATTTTGCTGTTGTCTGTTTAGTTACAATAATGGTAAGAATATCAGTTACTCACTTGCCGCCCCCCAACGCCCGTTGGCCGTCATTCATTGTAAACGTTTTAAACGTAGAAGAGGATTCACTGCAAAATTCCAAAATTATTTTCCAGGGTCGTTTCGATGATTTACGGCGATCAAACTTTGTACGTTGTAATTGACCAGTTAAATATACGTCATCTGATAAAATAGGTTACCATTGAATCATCGTAAATCATCGAAACTTCAAAACAAATTTCGGCAGTCCATCACAGCAGACATTCTGAAGTTTCGACGAAGAAAACTACAGACAAAGAAAACGTTGGACCCATGGCATATATGTAGAGGCTACGAAGTCAAAGCGCGCTAACAGGTCCTTTGCAGCTGGTCAAAAGCACTTTGCATAACAATATCTGGAGGGCACTGAGAAAACTGATTTGCTTTGTCTTACTCATTTGTTTATAAAACACATCTATTTTTCTCAACTTAATTTAGTTAACTGCAAACGGCCTATACTAAAGCCATTCATATCATTAGTAAAACAATATATGATTACAAGATTACATCGATGTCGAAGGAACTAGACTCGAAATATCATATACTCGAACCGACCTGACCTTGGCAGAGCATTGGGCTAGTATTCCAAAGGTCGTAGGTTCGATTCCCACCGTGGCCAGGCATATTTTTCAAGCCTGCCTGCATGGTGTGGATATACACTTAGAGTATAACATCACAAGCACTGATCAAATTCACCTGAGTACATTACACCAACACAGAAAAAATTCATGATTACAAGATTACATCGATATCGAAGGAACTAGACTCAGTTCCAAAATGTCACATACTCGACCCAACCTGACCGCGTAGCTCAGTTGGCAGACCATTGGGCTAGTTTCCAAAGGTCGTAGGTTTGATTCCCACCGTAGCCAGGCATATTTTTCAAGCCTGTCCGGTGTGGATATACACTCAGAGTACATCACAAGCATAATATACTGACATTCCTAAACTGTGATGTCATTCCTAGCGGCGACATAATACTGTTACGCGACCTAATTTTTTAAGATGGTTAACGATCAATTTAGCGTTGTAGCGTCTAATTTCAGGGTGAATTAAGTCCATTTTGAAATAGTTACGCTACGTTTTACTTGTTAAAGTCAACTATGCAATGTTGATGATACATTGTGCTTAGGATTATCCATGTTAAACTGTTTTCGTGTTCAGAAGTTTATACTAGCAAATCATAAATTTGAACCATGAAACGTCGTGTATAACGTATACTAGTTTATGGCAACAGGCAACAGCTATACCTATATAGCTACCCTGTAGCTGTTGCCATTAAGTCCATTTACTAGTATACGTTATACACGATATATTTGATTGCAAGTTCAGTTGTCACTTTCGAATTCTTTCCAGCCTGTTATACATGATCAACCCTATTTTATTTTATATAGTGCTAGAAGAACAGATTTTTCGATCACTGTAGTGTACCTGAATGACTTTATCTGTGCAGCAAAACGACTTAATAGATGTATGTGGCTAAATGACTTTATCTACGTAATGAAACGGTATATATAGCGAAAGTACCAGACACTTTCTTTAATTAATTAACAGCTTCTGAAACCATCGTGGCAAAGTATCACATATGGTAATAATACAGTACACTAAAGATAAACGCGATCAAGGCCTTAGTAAATCCATTCATAAAACAAGTTTGTATAAAGTAACATAACACATACTTTAATATATTGTTGTACAGCTATGCCACGAAACACCGCTTCATACGAAATCCATAAGTAACCCTTTTACTTTCACAATGATACGGAATCATTGCAGGAATTCCAGAATGAAATTTATCAAGCGATTAAAATGGCAATTTAATAACACTTTCACAACATCAATTTTGATTGCGACATCAGTCAACCAATCAGAATGTCACAAACCTCACGTGTATTTCAGATAAGTTCATGGGGGCTCTAATACCAAAAATATTTTTCTCTCATTTGCATAGCCATGAACCGTGACCAACACAACCAAACTTATTATAGGCATAAATGAAGCAAATTTCCAGTGGTGTTGAATGAATGAATGATTTATTAAAATTTCCAAATGGCAGCCTACATGGCATAGTCAGCAACCTGAAAAACTTGAAATTACAATTTGGTAATAATAGCCATACTATTTACAAGTTGAAAGATTATAAAAGTTAACGATTCATATATATAAAAATGTACTGTCTTGAAGATTAGATTAAGCACATTAGTTTGGGTGAGTCATCTCAATTGAATCCCATTTTTTGACACAATATGGGATAAAACTGTTTTTAAAACGTTCTGTTCTACATTTGAAAAGCGGATACTTTCGAGGGTTCCGAAGATAATTTTTATGGTTAACAGGATCAGGAAGAAGTTCGTGTAATTTGTTATCATGGTTTAAAACAGATTTATACAAAGAAAAGCAGTGTTTCTCTCTGCGTTCGTGGAATGTAGATAATCGCGTTTGATCGAGAGAAGCGGTATATGAGAGATGAGGGAACATAATCTTTATCGCTCTTTTTTGAACATGTTCGATTTGATCAGATAAAGTTGAGGAGAGTGAAGTATGCCAAACCTGGCATGCATATTCCAATACCGGTCGGATAAAAGTACAGAAGATAGGGCATGCATATAACCTTTTACTAGCTTTAGCACATATGTTATCAACGTGAATATTCCATGTAAGGTCGCTTGAGATTGTTATTCCCAAGAGCTTGAAACTTTTCACTATATCAAGTGGGATGTTTTTTATGGTGAGCTGGGGCCGGTTGTATCAAAGGCGTTTAACTCGCTAACCACTGTTTAACTCGCTATCCGCCGGATAAAATTTAAACGCTCGAGAAATCGCGTTGTATCAAGCCCGTTTAGGGCTATCCACCGGTTAAATTTTGCCTATCCACCGTGTAAACTTATACGGTCTCTTGAGACCGTTTAAATCGCTATACGGCGGATAAACTCGGAGTTTGAAGATAAAACAATGATTGGATAGTTATAAAAATGCACAATCATGTGGAGGAGTTATCTTTTTAAATCCAATAAACATGAAAAACTCACTTTTAACTGGCTTGGTCTTGAGGTACACTGAGGTTACTTGCTCACTTGCAATTCCGTGGCTTTGCTATATTTACGCACACCAGTGTCATGTTTAGATATTAAGTATATATACTCTGGCTTTTTCTCCTTCTTTTCTTCTATTATATAGTTTGAAAACAAGCGGTAAGACTCCCAATTTTAGCTATTGTAAAACAAACAATGACTTTGGAAAGCCAACAAGTATACAAAATAGACAACAAGACGCCAAAAGTCGAAAAAAAATGTTCGCTCGCGTTAATCGATTTGATCAGCCAATCAAAACTTGGGACAAAATGTTCTTAAAATTGTTTTGAACAAAAGTGCAAGGTCGAGGAATATAAAACTGAATCAATTGACAAAAGCCAAATACAACTCACAGTTTTTGCTATTGCCTTCGACTCTTCACATAAAGAAGCCAAAAATCTTTAAAGAAATATCCGTAAGTGAATTTAAGTGAATGAGAAACTCAGCACAATGTGAAAATGAAAAGTTTGATATAGATTTGCAGCAACGAATGGACGAGCAAACTCCACATAAAAACAACAACAAACTTTATTGCAAAAGCTTAGTGGAATTCACAAGTTAGATAAAGCTTCAAAAGTTTACAAAGGCCTAGCAACAGCTGACGTAGAGGTAAGAAATTTCAAGAAAATCCGGTTTTCTCCGATTAAATTAAAGGTTATCCTACGTATAGTTAAACGCGGTACTAAACGGGCTTCGTACAACGCAATTTTATCTGCCGTTTAACTATCCGCTGGATAAGAAATTTATACGCTGTATAGCGGCTAAACACCGTTTAAGTTAAACGCTTTTGATACAACCGGCCCATGGTTCCAAGAAGAATAGATTTAGTTTAGATTTTTAACTGTTAATTAAATACATGTATGCATTATCATAGCGTGAATATTTCTTCTCACTTATACTGTATCATATAAAAAGCTACGCAATTTTGAGAATGCGGAAGTGGTGTCTCATAAAACCTAGATTAAATGCAACATTTTCGATCAAAATCACATGCTCCCCCAGCATCACAGAGGGGAAACAAGGTGAAACTGACCCCTCATCCTGTTTTCAAGGTGACTTGCGGAAATGGTGTCTCATGAAACCTAGATTAAATGCAACATTTTCGATCAAAATCACATGCTCCCCCAACATCACAGAGGGGAAACAAGGTGAAACTGACCCCTCATCCTGTTTTCAAGGTGACTTGTCCAATTTATTTAATTCCGAGTAGAAATGTCTGGGAAAATTCATGTCTTCGGTGTACTTTTAATCTTCGGATTTCTGCTAGATTTCACCCCCAAAATGCTTGAAATCGCATTTCAGGTACTCTTGATTTCTAGATTCCTCACGCCTTCGGCGTGAGCTTCGCCCACCCAAAAACGAAGGTCTGGCTACGCCACTAGCCGGAAACGGAGCAGTCACTGTCGAATTAAGGGGCCTGTTTACATGTATGCTACTAGAAATACATGCATGCAGTAACCCCTCGCCAATATTTCCATACATGAAACATGAA